TTTTGTTTTTTTTTTTAGTCTGAGCATTTATACCCAGAATTTATCCAAACCCCTTTAATCTCCTTGGCTGGATTTATCAACCATAAAATTTTTCACTCATACAATTTTTTTTCCTGCAAATGAATGGTAACCACTGAATTAATACATATATGTGCGTGTATCTGTATACACACACATATATATATGATCTGCCCTTAAAAGAATGATGCACTGTGTGTGTGCACCATACACATTGTATACGTATGGACACACACACCAAACACACTAAGTTTTATATTGGCTGCAGTGCTGTGAGAGATTTCTTCCAGAGTGGACTCTCGGTTCTCGCATCTTCATAACCAGGAAGATCTGAGCATAACGAGAAGATCTGACCACCTGGCCGGAAATCTCAAGCAGCACTGTGGGTGTCTACCAGTCCTTCATCGACTTAAGCACCAGGCCCTACCACTCTGTAGCCATAAAAGAGAGAGGGAAAGGTGATGAAGGAGCTCGGGGAGAGACTGTAACGGATGAACAACCCGGGAGGGAAAAGAATGTTCATCGCTGTTAAAGAAGCCAGCACGAAGAAATGTGCAACAGAAATGGCATGGCACACGACACACGGCTTTCTCTTTCAGAATCCACGACACCCACACACCCCATTCACCCAACAGAAAACAAAATGCACCAGTCTATAAGCGTACAAGTGCTGACTGCTATTAAGGACACTCTCTTTAGGGTTTAACAAGACAAAATTCCTTCCAGATAAAAGTACGGAGAAGGGCTGAGAGTGGGAGTGGGTGGTGGGGAGGCATGCCTCTGAAGGTAGAAGTATGCAGTAGGTCACCTCTCTGAAGACTGGATAAAGCAGCTTTCAGGTCAATGCAATAGGTATACACACAGAGCCAATTCTCTATTCCTTACTAAAGATATACAGTACACGTGGTTCAGACCCCGGGGGTCTGTAGGTTTTGCAGCAACGTACACCTGCTGGGGTTGTGTTTAAGTTTGGTGGGTTTTTGTTTTTGTTTTTGTTTTTTGTCTTTGTCTCTTTGTTTTTGGTACAGAACATGGCTGCCCTCAGACAGTCTCTGCTCGTTCTCTCAGTCCGAGATAGGCGAGGAAGGAGTGTTTGGGTGAGGGGATGCTGGGAGGCGCAGTCTGAGGTCGGGGAGGGTGGAATGTGAGATCCAAGTGGTTCTTGGGGTACAACATTGTCAAGGGAATGAGATGGGCAAAATCCGAGTTCCGGTACTTGTCAAAGCGCAAAGGGGAGCCGTTGAAGGCCAAAGCCTTGAGTGCCAGGTTGGGCTCGGAGCTACTGCCGTGGGCAGCCGACAGGGCCACAGTCTGCAGAGCCTGGGAGGCGGACATGACCGACAGGGGAGACAGGAGATTCCGGGGGCTCCCGACGACGAGGAGCGGGGCCCCGGGGCCGGCTGGCTCCTTGGGGGTCGCTGGGCCCAGGCCCTTCTTGTCCTCCTCGGGACAGTCCCCACTCTGGTGCTTCTTGACGTGGCGGCTGAAGACGAAAGGGTGTGTGGTCTTGAACAGGCACTCTTCGCAGCTGAAGGTCTGGCGGGGGGCGTGCTTCAGCTTCTTGTGCAGGTTGAGATTGTCCTTGCGCTTGCAGCTGTAGCTGCACTGGTCACAGTGGAAGGGCCTCTCGCCGGTGTGGACGCGCACGTGCTCGATGAGCTTGTTGGCGGTCTTGGACAGGTAGCCGCACTGGTCGCACTTGTAGTGGTTGCCGAGGCGATGCTCCCGGGTGTGCGTCTCCAGCTCCAGCTGGTTGGCCTTCACCGTCTGGCAGATCCGGCACTTGTACTCCATCTTGTAGTGGGTCTTGAGGTGGCACTCCATGGCAGCGGGGCGGTTGGTGGAATAAATGCAGAATGGGCACCTGCCGGGGGGTGGGGGGGAAAGCAATGACAGGGAGGGTCAGCCGGACAGGCTCGGCGGCGGCCCCGCTTCTACCCTCCTCACCAGCCTCCCCTCGCTCCGCCCGCCCCCCCCACCCCACCACTCTGGAAGGCCTGGCCTGCCCCTGCCCAGCCCAGCCCTGCCCTGCCGCCTCTCCGGGGGCTTAAGATGACCCTCTGGGCTCTCTCTGCTGACAGAGCCGTCCCCGCTGAGGAGGAGCTCCGGCAAGGTACGCTCAGCCTACTGGGGGTCTCCTGGCTGGATTAGTGAGCACCAGCCCATGGGAAGGGGAGCACAGAAAGGGCGAGGAATACATAAGCGGTTGCTCCCCTCCGTCCTCCCCACCCGTTCCCCTTGGAGCCCTCCCCGCTCCCCGCCAGACATAGCAGAGGTCTAAACCTCCTGACCTCCCCTCTAGATGGGAGCCACACAAAGAATCGACTTTTCATGCACCACACCAAGCACACGCAGAAAGGCTAAGAGTTTTGAAGAACAGCTTATAGGGGGAGAGCTACCTCCAGCAAACAGAAAGTTGTAGGGGTCAGAATCGTGCTTATTACAGGGTGGTTAGGATGAGAAGGCCTGTGTGTGTGTCTCTCTGTGTGAGTGTGAGTGTGTGTGTGAGTGTGTGTGTGAGTGTGTGTGTGTGTGTGTGTATACAGAGATCTGTACTCATAAATCCTGTCTCCTACAGCCCTGGTTCTCCATCAGGGGAGGCAGATGAGGACCAGCACGGGGCTTGGGAGAGGGAGGCCCACCCACCAGCCCATCACGAATGAGGGATAAGGAGGGAGGGAGGCAACTGCTCTCTGGAGTTTGAAGACATTAGGAAAACATTATTCCATCGCAGAAATAATTGTAATCCAACTGGATCATAAATTCTCGGTGGGCAGGACCATATCTTATATTTCTTCTGCGTTCTCTGCAGTGCTTGGTAGGCACTGATTCATTACTGGATTGGTCTCTACACAGAATTTTGGCAGATTCTGGTCCCAGCTCTGTCACCTTTATCGGGCCATAGCTGGATATGCCCCGGGACAAAGCTTGGGCCTCTCCGTGGCTCGGTTTCTCCATCCCCTGCAGGGAGGCTATGCCACCCCCCAGCCTCCTGGCTGTCCAGAGGGGCTAGGAGGAGCAGTGAGGGCATGTTTACAAATTCTGTTGAGCTTCTCTTTTGGAAGCTGCAAGGCTCAAGTTGGTGGCTGAAATGATAGCTGTAGCGTGTTTGCTCTCTTTCCCAAAAGAATGCAAATGCAAAAGTGGCTGCCTCAGCTCTCGCTTGGCACCTGCAGGGCAGGGCCCTGGAGTGAATTGTCCTCTGAGGGTTTGGAGAGGTGTTCAGCAGAGCCCAACACAACCAAGTGCACCGTGCACTGCTCCTCAGCGCCAAGCTCGCCGTTAGCCTTTGAACCTCAGCTCACAGAAGAGTGCACACGAGAGAAATATAAAGCCCATTCCCAGGTCAGGTGCACACACAACCCCTACGCCAAGCTGGGCCTTACCTAGAGGAGTCTGAAACTCACCACTGTCCTGAGCTACGGCAAAAGAAAAATAATAGTATAATCTTATTTGATCTGCATTATGAACAGGATATAGAGTACAAGCAGTTCCATCACAGAAAAGCAATTTAGACATCGGCAGTCTGTTCCATTTTAAGAACATTTCTGTGACCCACAGCTCAATCTTTCTTTCGCTGCTCAGGCAAAGTGCTAAGGGTTTTCCGTGCTCCCGTTATTTATTGTAAAGACACTCTCTCAGGCAAATCAATTCTCTGATATGGCAAAGGGAAAACAAAACAAAACAAAACAAAACAAAACAAAGACTCACTGTATAGCCAGAAGGCATTATCAATTTTTTCAAAGTATTCTTCTACTTGGTCATCCTAGAACATAAACTATTACACAGGGGACTGTTAGCACCACACGGGAAGTGTCTGGACCGGCAAAAAGCATCAGCATTCACTGTGCATTCTCCCCAGTGGGTCGGAGGCTTGGGACTCCGTAGGTCCCCAAGGCAAGGCTAACTGACAAAGCCACAACCGGCAGGGGCCACAGAGTTAATGGGTGTGACGGGGCTACTGGGAAAGGCAACGAGCACTAGTCCAACCACAGAAATACATGGCTTTTTCTTCTTTTTTTTTAAAATAAGACTATACAAGTATTTAGAAAGGGACAGTGGGAACAAACCAAATCCAATTCCCAAATAAGCTCTTGCTGGGCATTTCCCATTTACTGGTTGTCTTGAATTATAATCTCCCCTCCCCCATCCCTACAGGCATCCCCTCCCCCTCCCACTTAAGTGCCCCAAGAGTGAAACAAAATGGAATTTGACAGTAGGTGTGCTGCTCCCTGACTCCTCTGTTTGGGAAAGTTTTTGAGGAGGGTGCCTCTGACCAGGCAGGAGCCTGCAGAGGGGTCAACCCTGGACTACCTCCAACACTTGACCCCCAGGGTCCCTTTGGGTCTCTCCATCCCTCGCCCATTCAGGAGAGTCATGCCAACCTCTCTGGCAATTTGTGAGTTTCAAAGATAAAAATGTTTAAAAACAAGAGGGTATTTTTTTTCCCCTTGTGTCAAGTAAAATATAAATTTTCATTCTTTTAATGACATGATTATTTCAGCTAAACATGAATAATTATGCCTTGAAACTTGTGTGTCTTTCTGTATTCAACGACGTATGCTTCTTTCTCTACTAGGTCCTAAGTGCCTTGTGAACAGGGGCTGATTTCAGAATCACCAGAAAGATTAAATTCTGGTAGTGCTAGCACATACATTTCCTGAGGGTAGAAATTATGTTTTATTCCTCGTTTGCCCTTCAGCGCCTATTATCAAGCCAGACACACCATGCGTTCGGTAATAACTGACGGGTCTCACTTCAGACCAGAGGGCCTCTTGCAAATAGTAGTTAATGATGATGCTTGTTGTCTAGGTCTTTGGGGATCTGTGAGTAACATGTGACTGGAAATGTCAGAGCTCATGAAGGCTAGCCAGGGAGATCCCAATCGCAGTTCCTGGGAAGGAATAAGGCATGTTTGCAGGAAGACATGAGGCACGTGATCTCTATCTGAAAAACACTGCCTCCTGTCTGTTCAAAAAGGCAAGGATCCAATATTTGGGGGTGGGGTGCAGGTGGGCTTGTTGTGATGCTGGTTTAAAAGATACATGGCAAATCATCTAAAAAAAATAAGTCACAGGTAGTGAAGGGCTGTGAGAGTGTAATGATTTACGCTCGGGGACACTAAGGCCCAAGTCCATAAAATCCAGTCCAAACCAAAGTCAAGCAGTGTAGGATGAGTCTGCCCCCTGCATGCTGAGCTGCTCCAACATGTCTTCTTGCTTGCCAGGAATCCTGGGGAATTTGTGAAATGGATTCTCCCGCTGCGTCTGCTGACCCCCCAGGGAACAGGTCTGATTCATATCCGGCTAAAGGTAGCAGAGGTGCCTGACTGACTAGCCCCATGCCAAGCTCTCCCTCTCCATGACCCCAAAATCTTCAGGGAGGGGGGAGGGGGAGGGGCGGGGAAGGGTGTTTAATAACAACACAGTAAAAGGTTCTGTACTTGCTTTCCTTACTTGAGCCCACCGGTGGGGACAGTGTGGCATTTCTTATGCTCCAGCAGCTGTTCAGGTGTCTTCATGAACTTGTGGCACACGTCACACTCAAACATCCGGGTGATGAGGTGGATCTGCAGATGGCGCTCAAACATGTTCTTCGTCTTGCAGACAAAGTTGCAAAAAACACATTCGAACCCTGAAAGGACGGGAGCTGGGTGTACGGGTGCATGGGGCAGAGGGGTAGGAGGGCAGGAGGGGGACAGACACCCCCTGTGTCTCCTCTTCCCCAGCTATACCCTTTCAGGCACCGTTCCCTGCATCTCTGTGGCAAGAGGAGTTAAGTGTACAGCTCCAGAATCAATGTCAAACGTACAGCTCCAGAATCAATGTCACACTGCCCACCCATCCACCCCATATGTGGATGCAAATCAAGCCAAAAGAAATACAAATTTGAGGCGATGATAACATTATACTGTTCCCAGGCCAACTGTCTGTTTTCCAACATCACTCCCCTTGAGGGCTTAATTTTTAAGCAGGCCAACCCACTCCTCCCTCACCTTTCTCTGGCTTTTCCTCACTGTTCACTGAGGGCTGACTCCCAGGCACGACAGAGATGACCAGCAGGTTATTCCCACTCTTGTTTTTCTGAGAGCTGTCTGAATCGTCTTTGCTGTTGGCCGAATCACTCAGAGCTGAGAGGGAGGAGGAAGAGGGGCTATTTGATTCACTGGGGGTCTTCCTGTCTTCTCCTGAAAAAACAAACAAACAAACAAACAAACAAACCCCCCCCCAAAACCCAGGTCTGTTATTTAGGAGATGATAACCCTCGAATAAGAGCAAGTAGGGGTGGGGGTGGTGGGGGGTCTCGCGGCTACATCATCATTCAGGGAAGACAGGGTGAGGTTCCCAGCTCTCCCAGGGCACCTACTGGGATCCCAGGTCCCCTCATCTACAATGATGACTTGTGGGACTTGGGAACTCTGTCATGCTTTGAACACAGTATCTCATTTTATCTTCTCAAAAATCCAATGAGACACAACTGTTAGCACTCCTGGTTCACAGATGAGGGGAGGGAGGCACAGTCAGGGTAACTCGGCCTAAGTCACACACTAGGAAGTGGTGGCGCAGAGATTTCAGTTGGTCCTACTCCAGGATCCATGCTCTTCATGGACTGGACTCTCCCTCAAACCCAGGAGTAAACCAGTTGGGAGGCCATTAAAATTCAGTGTCAGGAGACTAATGCTTCCACTCAAGATGAAGTGTCAAGAGACTGGATTTACCATTGCTACCGAAACAACTAAAACAAAACCGGGCAAAATATATCAAACAATATTTGTTGTTGTCGTTGTTTTTTCCCCAAAATAGTTTTTACAACGTTGGACATCAGGCTCTGAAGACTGATCCCTGGGAGACAAGAAAGAAAAGAGGTGGCCCACTTCCTGCCTTTAGAGAGTTTACTTCTCAGGGTGCAGTGCAGGGGTGGGGAACTGCCCATCAGGCTCACTGAGTTGAGGCGAGAGCGCTAAGGGTCTGGGGAGATCAACATTGCTGGACTTGGCAGGGCAGGGTGCCAGAGGGGGGCGAGCAGTACAGAGGAAAAAACTCAAAGACCTGCAGGGGGTCCCCCATGAGTATTCATTCAGCAGAGTAGGGATCAGAGCACATGTGTGAGAAAACCCCCCAAGACTGGAGGGAAAAAAAGCCATGTGAAAGGCTCAGAAAACACTGCTATTTCCACTAGCCAGATTAGAAACACTCACAATTCCCAGGGCATTGGGTAGGAAACTGAGGAAGATCTCTTAGGAGTGGGTAATGATTGGCCCTAGTTGGACCACTGCTTCAGACCTGCCTGACAAGTCACAAAAGCAAGACTCAAAGGAGTCAAATTTTCCAAGTAATTAACTGCATCCTAAAACAAAGGTAAAGAATTTTTATGGGAATATAAAATATCCAGCACCCAGCAAGGCTAATCACAATGTCTGACATCCAAACAAAAATTAGCAGGCATGCCAAGAAACAAGAGAACACAACCTAAAATGGGGGAGAATAATTAACCAGTCAAAACTGACCCAGAACTGACACAGTTGTTAGAATTTGCAGATAAGGACATAATGTTATTATAACTATAGTCCATATATTGAAAAAGTTAAATAGAGATATGAAAGATATAAAAAAGATCCAAATCAAATTTCTAGAGATGAAAATTACAACGTCTGAGATGAAAAAATACACCAGATGGGATTACCAGCAATTTAGACATGGCAGAAGATTAGTGAACCTTGAAGGTAATAATAATAGAAATTATCTGCAATGAAACAGAGGGAAAAAAGAATCATAAAAATGAAAAGAGCATCAGCGGATTGTGGGATGCCTTCAGGTAGCTTAATATAAATTTAACTGCAGTCCCTGATGGGGTGGGAAGGGCAGAAAAATCTGAGAAGGCCAAAACTTTTTCAAACTGGGGAAAACCATAAACCCACAGATCCAAGAAGCAAAATGAACCACATGCATAAGAAAGATGAAGAAATCTATACCAAGGGATATCAAAACCAGTGATAAAGAAAAAAAAAATCCCTAAAGGCAGCGTAAGGAAAAAGGATACATTCTGTGCAGAGGAACAAAAATAAGGATGACAGCAGATTTCTCACGGGAAACAATGTGAGCAAGAAGTAGTGGAGTGCCATCTTTAAAGTGCTGAAGGGAACAGCTGTCAATCTGAGATCTCATACTCTGTAAAAATGAATTTCAAAAACGAAGCTTCCCTCCCCACCCAAAAGGGGGAAAGAATTCATCGCCAGCAGACGAGAATTACAAAAAATGTTAAAAGAAAGTCTTGAGGGCCCCTGGGTGGGTCAGTCATTGGGCGTCTGGCTTTGGCTCAGGTCATGATCCCAGGGTCCTGGGATTGAACCCCACATCGGGCTCCCTGCTCCATGGGAAACCTGCTTCTCCCTCTCCCACTCCCCCTGCTTGTGTTCCCTCTCTTGCTGTGTCTCTCTCTGTCAAATAAATAAATAAATAAATAAGAAAAAAAATAGAAATTCTTGAGGCAGAAGGAAAATGACACCAAAAGTAAAAACGGATCTACACAAAAGAAGAGCACAGGAAATGTCAACTCCATGGCCAAATACCTGAGTTTTCTTATTTAAATCTCTCTAAAAGAGAATCAAAGTAATTTTGTTAAAAAAGAATAATGTCATAGAGGGTTTATAACATAAATAAGTAAAATATGACAGTGATAGCATAAAGGCTGGGAGAGGAGACAGGGAAGTATGCTATTGTGAGGATCTTACACTGCACATGAAAAGGTACAGTAGCACTCGAACATGTACTGTAATAAATTAACGATGTACATTACACACCCCAAATAACTGGAAGGTTCTACGCTGTTCATGGTTTGGGAGACTTGATACTGTTAAGATGTCATTTCTCCCCAAAGAAGATTGAAGCAGCCCCATCGTTTTAGGTTAGGGTAGGAAATACAGGGAGACTGTGCATCAGTTCCCTTCAAATCAGTCAATTAAGTAATCTAGTGATTGTAAACTCTAGAAATGAACTTTCTTTATCAGAAGATTTAAAAAAACAAATCATATATTATATACAAGCATAAAAAAGTCCAGAAGTAAATGGTGGTGACAGCTAGTGGGTGAAATTATCAGCGGTATGTTTGTTTTCTTTTATTTGGTTTTCAGAATTTTCTAAAATGACCATAAATTACTTGTCCAATTAAAAATTTTTTTTTGAAAGAGGAAGGAAGAAATATTTACCCTCTTGCAATGTTTCCAAGTCTTGTTCTCGGCAAAACTGCACTTATATCTAGGGAAGACAGTGCTTACTTCAGTTTACAATTTTAAAAATCTTGTTCCTAGCAGGACTGAACTTGGTTCCTGGAAAGACACTATGTGACCTCACTCACTGACCAAGGAGGGAGGGAATATGCCTTTAAAGTATAGACCCCCCTTGGTACAAGGAAGCTAGTGAAAGCTAGCACCATCCTTGCCAGTCTCTTATCTAAATATTTAACCAGGTTAGTCACATTTTGCAGACAAACAGAATATGTTCAGTAGGGGCCCTGAGTCTATTGCTTCACCAAATGCATCCTCTAAGGTGGGTCTTATCCATAGAATCTTGCAAGTGATTATTTTAAATTAGTTTTTAGAGTTAAAACCTATCATTTTAATTACCATCTTTAACAATAGTGTCAAGTACCCTGAGGCTTAAGACACTGGGGAGAGCTGTCTACATTAATAAATGTATAAACCATACAAGTGCCAATGCAGCTGCTCTGTGAGCCGGCGTGAGGAAATAGCCCAGTCCACTCAAGCTGTGATCCCTACCCCACACCGCTTCCTCTGCTCTCAGTCCTCATCTCCCTTGGCTCTGTAGGGAGTGAGCCAGGGTACCCTTGTCAACTCAGTCCATGGCTCACTGTGATCCAAGGGGTCATTCACTTTCAGCAGCACAGAGATTCTTGGTGAAGGACATCCGTGCTCAGGTAATGCAACCTCATACATTAGGACAGCCAGCTAAAGAGAACTTGAAAAAAACCTAAATATTTCATAATCTAACATGACACAAAATGATAAATTGAGACCATAAAAATTACCAGTTGTCTCGCTGCCTCAATATAAACACCATTACATTTTTGATGTACTTTTAATTTTTTTAGAAGTAAGCATATCTATTTTAAAATTGTTGCCGCTAATTGCATAGTAGTTAAGAAGAAGGACTTCAGATCCAGAATACCTGAGTTTGATTTTTTTTTTAAAGATTTTATTTATTTATTTGACAGAGAGAGACACAGCGAGAGGGAACACAAGCAGGGGTAGCGGGAGAAGCAGGCTTCCCGCGGAGCAGGGAGCCCGATGTGGGGCTCGATTCCAGGACCCTGAGATCATGACCTGAGTCGAAGGCAGACGCTTAACGACTGAGCCACCCAGGCACCCTGATTTGTTTTTTTTAAGATTTTATTTATTTATTTGAGAGAGAGAGAGAGAGAGAGACACAGTGAGCAAGAGAGCACAAGCTGGGGGGGAGGGGCAGAGAGAGGGAGAAGCAGACTCCCCACTGAGCAGGGTGCCCTATGTGGGGCTTGATCCCAGGACCCTGGGATCATGACCTGAGCCGAAGGCAGCAGCTTAACCGACTGAGCCACCCAGGAGCCCCCAGAATACCTGAGTCTGAATGCCACCTGTATCATTTAATGGCTGAACGACTTAAGAGGAAGGATTTAATTTAGTGCTTCAATGATCTCATCTTAAAAATGGGGTTAATATCAGCAGCCTCATATGTTTGTTGTGGGGGTTAAATAGGTTTTTATATATAAAGCACCAAGAACAATGCCTGGCTCATTGCATGCATTATAGAAGAATGTATTATTATTATTATTATTATAAAATATAATATATAATATTTATAAATAATAATAACAATCACTAACACTGTATTTTCCCATGCTGGTACATAGTTGGCTCTCAAAATTTATGAAAATAATTATTAATTAATGGTTTTAAATGATAGTATTAGGGGCACTTGGGTGGCTCAGTCAGTTAAGCATCTGACTCTTGGTTTCGGATCAGGTCATGATCTCAGGGTTGTGAGTTCGAGCCCCATGTCCGGCTCCGCACTCAGTGGGGAGTCTGCTTGGGATTCTCTCCCTCTGCTCCTCCCCCTGTTCACGCGCACGCTTGCTCTCTCTAAAATAAATAAATGAATCTTAAGAAAAGAAAGTTACAAATCATATGTAACTCTTAAAAAAAAAAGAAAATTAATGTTCCATTGGTTGATTTTTTTCCCTATGGAGATACTCCCAGAAGAAGGATTACGGAGTTACAGGCATTTTCAAGCCTCTTGGTCTATACTACCTAAGTAGTTTTCAAAAGTTCTCCCACTCTGTAGGGTCATGGCCATAAAAGTATCAGCAGCATCCTGTGACCATGGGTAATGCTGTAAAACACACTCCTAATGCAATCGGTGAAACGTAAGCCACTCTTGAGTTTTAATTTGATGGCTAGTGAGGTCAAATATTTTTTCCTTTTGTTGAGTGGTTAGCTTTTATTTCTTTTATTGTGTATTGACTGTTTATGTCCTTTATAAATTCTTCACTTAGAGACCTGAAGGGTTTCTTACCAGTTTATACAAATTTTCTATGCAGTAAATGTATCAGCCTTTGTCATTTTTACAAACACACTTTTCAGACTGGTTTTTTGGTTTTGTTTTCCTTCTCTTTTCCTTTTCTTTTGCAAAGAGAAGAAGATATTCTTATGCCTCAAATCTCTTGATTCTTTTCTTTTGCCATTTCTTGAATCACTTAAGCTTTCACAAATCCTCCTCACTCTGGAAGTCTGATAAACATTCTATTTTCTTCAAAATTTTCTAGGGCTGATTTGTTAACGGGGATTATGTAAGTCGTCTGATATCTATTTTGGTGTCGGTGTGAGGTAAAGTATTGATGGTTGTATTTTCCAAATAGCTATTCAGGTTCCTCAATGCTGTTACTGCAGCATTTAAACATTGCAGCAAAATTTGCATCGAGGACATCAGGAGCACCAGAGGGAATATTTTTCCCTTGTTCTCCGCAGACACAAAGAGCGAGAGAGTGGGAGCAAGAGGGTAAGGAGGGGTCACTGGGAAGAAACTACCTAAACAGAGGGCAGTTCCTCAGATACCCACCCAGCACCCTGCTCACAAGTGTGCCCTGGGTAAGAGTAGCCGGGAAGGAAGTATAGAAAGCACGTGGATTCTGTGGGAGACAAAGCTCATCCTGTAGATCACAACTTCACACCTATAACAAGAAAGCACTGCAGATTTCCTAGGGGACTGAAATAAAAGGTGCCCATTCCTATGACAGGTAAATCATATCAGAGAACAAGGTCCACAGAATTAGAGAACCTTATGCCTGTTGGGCATCTCCTGCATGTTCAAGAAGTCAAGGAATGGATGAAGGCCCAGGGAAGTTAAATGAGTTTCTACGTTTGCAGTGCTATTTATGGTAACATGGGGTCTAGAACTAGGATCTAGAATTCAAAGTGTGTTTCCCTCCATCCCAAGTAACTTCTTCCACATAGATTATATGCATAAGTCAGTAGACTCTCAGGGTTCAGTAAGGGCCATGTTGGAATAATTTTCTTGCTTAACACACACAGATGTGTGAAAATGTGCTTGCACACATACATTAATTTACCGGATGAACGTTTACTCCCCACTTACACGGTGCAGGCACTGGCCCAGGTGCTCAAGAGACAATGGCAACTTAGATAAGCTTCCTATTCTCGGGGATATATAGTATAATATGTATCACATAGCATATATACTGCTTTATATCATAACTTTATAACTATACAGCTTATTAATTAACAGATTTAGATGGACATATCTTGGGTCAAATTCAAACACTTCAGAACAGCAACTGCATGCAAGAAATCCTCGCTGTGAAGACCATTAGCTTCTAAAAGGGGTCCTTTGGTCAAATCTGGCCTCCTGTTTTTGTAAATAAAGTTTTATTGGAACACTGCCAGGCCCGCTTTTTTGTGTGTTGTCTACTCTACTTTCAAATTTCAGCTCATTCCAATGAATGTAGTGACAGAAACTGTATGGCCTGAAAGCCTAAAATATTCACTATCTGGCCCTTACAAAAAACAAAACAAAACAAAACAAAAAACCACCAAACTCTGTTAGTTTCCCTGGCTAAAAAAAGCCTATAAAAAGGTTATAACCTTATTCCCTAATAGCAGCAGTGTTAAAGGCTTCTACTGTATCAAAAAAGCAACTTCCTTAATGCATTTCACTCTGGCTGTCTGTGGTAACAAATGGGAATATTCTTCCCAGGTAGACAAGGAGCCCCTCCACCTCAGAGGGAACAAGATCTCTGTGTTCCCAGTGGCAGTGAATGTGTTTGCATTGGGTATTTGTGAATGTGAAGTTTCTATCGATGACAATGAAGTGATTCTATATCCAACTGCTTTCCAGCCATTATGGTTTCTATGGTTTCCTTGAGGTGGGGTGGTGGTAGGGGGGCTGTGGCCTGGAGAGAAGGTTCTTGACTGGGTTTAGACACACTTGGGGTGGAGAGGATTAGAAGAACAGGAGAGTCACAGAAAAGAGGGGAAAAAAGAATATCTGAAAAGCCAGTGGAATGGAAGAGAGGCTGGCCTTTCCCTTCATTAGCCACTCCAGAAATGTTGAATTTAGTTTGTCTTTGACACGGGTTTCCCAGCTCACCTGCTGCCCACGGTGCTAATGTGGTTAAAGCCAGATAACCAACTGTAAAAATGGCACCTTCTCACCCAGCATAAGGGCTCTCTGCAGACCTCCAAGTCATAGCTGCTCAACTTACGACAAAAGCAAGCTTTTATTGCTGTTGGCACCACGGAACCAAGGCGGCCGGTTAAAGCACAGAGAGCTCCTTCTAGGTCGAGCATGTGGTCAGCACAAGTGTCCGGGAAATTCCCCTTACCCAAATCCTTCAAGTACCAATCATGCCAGTGGCTGAGCCAACACCCAGGGCTGGCAGTTAGCAACATCAGCCTGTAATCTGTAAGCACCACAAAATGCGGGGGGGCGGGGGGGGTGAGGGGAGTGGAGGGGCTCCTCCTCATTCTCACTTAATGACTCCACCCTGGTGTCATTTGTAACCCTCAGTTGTGAGAGGATAATTGCATGGTGAAGTCACAATGTTAACATCATGAAAAGGAAGACATTAACCAGAATGGCAAGAGCCTTAAATGAAAGGCGAACCCTGGGCAACGTGGCTCTGCTACCCTGGGGAAGTCCTTCCTTCGGAGGGAGGAGAGGTCCGTGTCGCCTGGTGACGATGATGCATCTGCCAGGTGGGCAAGCGCTCTGGGGTGGTTGGGGGATGGAGGAGAGAAGGACCGACAGTGATGGTCACCTGTGTGCTTGGTGCCAATGTGAGCCTTTATCTCTGCTTCCTCCATGGTGACAAAGTCACAGGCGGTGCAGCAGATGGAAAACATCCACTGCTCCTTGTCCACGTGGAGTGACATGTGGCTGACAAACTGGACATTGAGCTCGGTCTCAAATCCACACACATGACAGCTATATGAGGGGACGACAAAAAAAGGGGGGGGAGAGAGAAGAGTGATACTTTGCAGTCCACTCAGAAAACTGGACTCTTACACACGTTTTTCCTCCCGCCTAAACGTTTTGCATTAGAAAATTCTTCGGCTTTCTGGGATGCCTCTGCAGTAGTCACCGTGCCAAACGGATTAAGTGCCGGCATAACATAACAATCCCATACACGCTATAATCATAATCATAAAGATAATTAAAAATTACAGATTCCAGATGCCACACATCACCTTACTGATTCCTTCGGGCAAAGAGATGCGGTGCAGCTTTGCCAAGATATTAGCAGTGCTGACACACTGATAAATTCGGAGCACCCAGCATACCCAGTGAGCCTCTCTCTGGCTCTGGAAACCTTCGGTGTAGCAATGAAGGCACATGCAGGTCCTCGGATGGCACTGCAAGCAGGAGCAAGTCCTGTCTATGACAGTTCCCAATAGAAGCCATCCATCCGCGGAGACATTCCACACAAAAGCAAGTTTCCCCCAATCTGTATGGCCTGCCTCTTGGGCAAGATGCTGACCCTTGGGATTTTATAGCAACCAAACCAAATACTGATTCATGGTCAAATGTGGAAGGGAAACATAAAATTCCAGGTACTGAAGACAACACGACCAAGGGAAAATATGCAATGCTTTCAGAGCGATTTCCCCTGAGTTTTCAGATTTATTTTTCCTACTCTTTTTCTCCGTAGGACAATTCTCAGGGAGCAGCAAGGTGCTCTGTTACAAAGATGGAAACTTCCCAGCTGCACAAACCTAAAAGCTAATAATCCCCGGAGCCCTGCCGCTCTCTGGAGCTCCAGCCCAGAGAGCCACCTCCGAGACCATTTCCCTTTCAATTAATTCTACTAGGGCCACCCAGGCCAAGAGAGGAGTCAGCGCAGCTTCTGGGTTCAGTCTAAGCAGAGCAAATATTACAACGAAGGTTTGCACTGTGACTGAGGAGAGACATCTCATCACGTAGGCCCTAGACACGGGCGGGGAGTGTTCGAGAAAGTTGGGCACGGTTCCATTCACCGCTCACCTGTAATAATAAGGGTGCTTCTTCCCATCACTGCCTTCAGAGGTGACGGCGCTGACGATGTCCTCCGTGTCCGTGCTCACCAGCTTCACCGAGTGGACGGTCAGGTGCTGGTTCAGGTTCGCACGGCACTTGGCCGCGTACGGGCACAAGTGGCATTTGTATTTTCTTTCCTCTGCGGGGGAAGCAAAGGGAAACAACCCAAACTGCTCTTAAAAATGAACACCCAACACCTTGCAAGCGGCCGTTTAGAGCTCTCCAGGAAAGGAGGGTTCAAACCTCATTTCACATGGGGACCAAGGGAACCCCTAGGAATTAGAAGTATCTAACAGTCTCTATCCAGCAGGTCACTGCTGTATTTATCAGCACTTTCAAAGATTAAAGCAAGTCCCAGGACAACTGGACCATCTGCTTTTTCTTAGACACCCACAGGTCCTTCTTCCTGCTAAGGGGAGCCCCACGGGGGCTAAAAGAATATTGTGTATCTGTGAGTGTGTGTGTGTGCACATACTCCCCACGTGTCAGCCGAGGGTGGGTGCTTGGCTGGAGAAAGGGGAGGGTAACACAGCCTTCCTGGGACTGGTGTAAGAGAAGCCCCACCATTTTCCCTAAGCTCCAGGCCTACAGCAGCCAAGAAATCAAAAACTAATGAAATTAAAGGTGGCAAAAAATGACTCGTGTGAAATAATTTAATGGGAATTTTTCATTTTAAAATTAAAAATTCCAATTTATTTCTTAATGAAAACCCTCTCGTAAAACTGACCACGTTTCAGGACTCTCTGCAGAGTGGCATTCTGAATTCATTCGATTCATCAAGCAAATTACAGTAAAAGGAGCAGGCTTTGCTTTCATTGTGCAGATAAAGGTGGCCGACGGGGGCAGAAAAAGCAAAGAGCAAGTTCATTTTCTACCCTGATTCTTACTTTGTATTACTAGGCTTGGCTTTAAAGAATACCCAGTCTTATATACTTCACAGCAGAGAATGAGGAATGAAGTTTTTCTCCAACAAAATATAAGGCATCAGCATTATTACTACGGATAGTCCCCCACATTTGAAGTGCTGGCGGCCCGGGGCTTGGTGGGGTTAGGGGAGGAGCCCTGCGGTGCAGATAAAGTACAGTTCTTTCGGGGAAGAAGGAACTGATTTTCGTTGCATTAATTAAGTTACTATTTATTCCACCTTTAACCTTCCTTAATTTGGTTGCCTTCCCTTTCGCAACACGCAGAATCAAGCACATTTCTCTACTATCACGTGAAGGTAAAGATAGCAACTGTTTCCCCATCAGCTGCTCCCATTTACCACGCTAAGATGAAAACAATGAGACGGGGGGGGTGCAGCCTCATCCCCCGCACCCTCAAGATGAGAGCGGTATGGTGCTTAGAGTGCTGGAATTTTACCCGGATACACCTACATGTGTCTCTTTTCTCACCAATCCTACTTTCAATATAAATAAAAACCGTTTCCAGGGCCTTCTTTGAACGGGCCAGGTACAGTGGCTTGAATGGTCAGGACAGAAACATTTCCGCCACTTCCTGTTATAATTCTCTCAGAGAAACTCAACTTCTTGAGAAGAGAGAAGCTGGTGATCCAGAGTGTCAAAGGCATCCGAGTGAGTTCCTGACTCACCTGTGTGCAGCGAGAGGTGTCGGGACAACGTCTGCTGTCGGCCAAACACTTTTCCACACACGTCACACGGGAAAAGCTGGTCATTGAATTTCCAGGATGGCAATCCGTTTCCTGCCTCTAGTACTATCTTTTCTGTGTCTGGGCCAAAAGAGCAAAGCATCATGAGGGGTAAACAAGGCATCATGAACAAATTTCATTTTAGTCAATATTCTTCAGAACTTTAGCAGAGGCTTCCTTCTGAAGAATGTGGCTGGTAACTGCCAGTAAGTCCCAGTAACCTCTGGTCTTTGTGTTCATTTCCTGTTTCTAAGAAGGCTGTTCTTGAAAGTTGTGGTGGCAAATGGATTCCAGTTCTAGCCAAGTCTCCAGTGTTTTCTCTCTCTGTCACTAAAGGTCAGCCAACCAAACCCTCCAGTAGGTTGGTAGCATGCTTTAGCACTGTGTGCAGTATACAGTCGGTACTCAAATTTGCTAAGTGAGTGAATGGTTGAGTGGCATGTTAAAACTCCAGACATGCACACTCTTGCCACAAGATAGTAAATAGAGAGTGCCAAATCTCGGATTCTTTTTTTTTTTTTTTTAAGATTTTATTTATTTATTTGACAGAGAGAGAGAGAGAGCGCGCGCGCGAGAGGGAACACCAGCAGGGGGAGTGGGAGAGGGAGAAGCAGGCTTCCCGCTGAGCAGGGAGCCCGATGCGGGGCTCAATCCCAGGACCCTGGGATCACGACTCGAGCCAAAGGCAGACGCCCAATGACTGAGCCACCCAGGCGCCCCTAAATCTCGGATTCTGATGGGAAAACAAATAGTTCAGTCCTTTGAAGGAAATACACTTCCACTGCCCTTTATGAAGAAAAGTTTTGCCCTATGTTCTGGGTTGTGCCAAATCCTTAATGAGGAACCTAATGTTACACAGACTCGGTGATGACAACTGCGTCCTACTTGCTATGTTTGTGTCCCCCCCGCCCAAATTCATATGTTGAGACCCTAATGCCCAAGGTGAGGTTATTAGGAGGTCACACCCTGGGAAATGACGGGGTCGTGAGGGTGAGCCTCATGAATGGGGGTGAGCCTCTTGTAAAGGAGGCGCCCAGAGAACTCTCTGGCCCCTTTTGCCATGTGAAGACCCAGTGAGCAGTGGGCAGTGTGGGACCTGGAGGAGGGCCCTACTCCACTGTGCTGGCACCCTGATTCCAGACTTCTGGCCTCCAGAACTGTGAACAATAGACTTCTACTGTTACTACAAGCTAGCCTGTCTGTGGTATTTTGTCATAGCAGACTCAATGGACGCAGACGCTACTCCACCTAACACTCCCCAAGGCAGGAGGGCGCAACTAGAATTTCCCCGAAGGTCTCATCCAACTAGGGAAAGTGATGAGTGCTGCCAGTTATCTGTACATAATTCACAGCCATGACTGAGATGTGTGGACATTAATACATCCTCTTGTCATCTTAAAAAGTTTTTATTTTCTCATCATCATCCGCAGGATTCCTTCTGATTTTCTCATCTCTATTTCTTCCCACTGAACTCTAAATGGGCTGCACAGACATAACTTCTACAGTAATATAAGGAGACAGGTGTCAGAGAGAATACCAAAAAGGACTGAAGGGGACCCTTGTCTGGGCCACTAAGAGGGCTTTAAAGGTCTCACTCTGAAGAACAAGACAATTTACTGAGTTGATAGCTTGTCCTTTACCTCGGTAAATGATCGTGAATCTTTTTAAAGCACACCAGATGTTGCTTTATGGAACCGGATGCCAAGCGGCGATAATTAAATGTTAGAAAGAACTTTTCGGAAGATCCATGCAGATGAAAATGCTCAGACTACCGGACAGAGACCTCAGAAGGGAGAACTTTATTTCCCACAGTTTGGTTAAAACTGCACCCCAGATACAGGCTTGCACCTGCATTTGGGCGAGTGGGTGGGACCAGGTTTTGTTTGAATGCGGATTTGCCAGATAGTGTAATCTAAGGATGAGCAGAAACCAATACGAGTATGTCTGGCGGGGAGGGGGGTGGGGGATGATGGGGGCATCGCAGTCCTGTTTGCTCTGAGGCACCTGCCAACAATCCCACCGCTGATAAGGCACATTTATTGATTTATCTGTGTTTCTTAAAACACAGCTCTTTGGGCCTCAGGGAGAACAGCCAGTCTTATTAAAGCAGGACCGTGGGACTAAAACCCTCCCGGGGGCAGGGGATAAGGGGCAGAATCCGGGGGGAAGGGGGTAGACGAAAAGTGAGGTCCTGGCCACTGAGCTGTGGAGGACACAAGAACCACTCTCAGATGACCGTCCTTGAGCCCAAGCAAGCAGTGGCCATTTCAGCCATGAGAGGGTATTTTAGTAGTTCCTTTTAAGTGTGTAATCAAAATGGTGCTTCAAAGGAGGGCACCAGTCATACTTATAAGGAGAGGTCAAGAGGGTACCGGGTCTTCCAATAACATTCACAACAAGAATGAATTAATTGGGTCACATACCAAACAAGTTGATGCAATTAAAAAATAAAGAAGTCTCCTAATAATTCTTTCAAGTATCAAGTCGCACACTTGAGAAGTTGACGCATCATAAGAAGGCCACTTCCCTCCACGGGCCTTAGAAAACTATTAAAACTATGAATATTTGCTGCAGCGAAGGCGGGAAGCACACCCTCCAGTCACAGTGAAGCCGCCAGAGGCTTCAGGACCCGGCCGGGACCCGAGCCTTGTCTACACCAGCTCCTCTCCCCACGAGCAGCCACCTGTTTCCACTTCACAGGCGGGAACAAGGAACCAGAGGCCCTTTGCAGCTGGCCCACAACATGACCTGGAAATCATAGCCAGGTGAGGCTCCAGGTGGTGGAGGGCAGTGCAGAGGGGAGCATTATTTTGACAAAACAAGCACCAAGGTAATGGGCCTGCTCCTCTCCTCATGGAACTGCAAGGAAGCTTGTGCAAGGGGCCACTCCAATACCATGTGAGAAACTGCAGAATCTTTTTGGATTCCTGCTTCCCTCTCTTTTGTCACAGTCAGTCACCAAAAGCTGTCCATCTGGTTCTAGATGGAGATCTGAATGTGATGAGCACCTAGCAAGGACAAGCTTGGGAAAGTCTACGGTCTGCCTTTCCGAAGCAGGACTGGCCCGCATTACTCCTGAGAATTGTCAGCAGGCTCTCAAGGGGCATGCCAGAACAGAGTAGCTCCTTCTGTCTCTTGTTCTTGATGATTGACCATTATCAGAAATAGTTCATGATCCTGGGGCGCCTGGGTGGCTCAGTCGGTTAAGCGTCTGCCTTCGGCTCCGGTCATGATCCCAGGGTCCTGGGATCGAGCCCCGCATCGGGCTCCCTGCTCAGCGGGGAGCCTGCTTCTCCCTCTGCCTCTGACCCTCCCTCCTGCTCGTGCCCTCACTGGCACGCTCTCTCTCTCAAATGAATACAAGAAAAAAAATCTTTAAAAAAATATTTTACGATACTTAAATTCTGAGCCCATTGATAAAGAAATATTTATAAAAACGGATACGTAGGCCTGTACTAGTTTCTGTGAATTAGCAATAGTGACTGTAACCCCACATTAGGGAGACCACTGTGGGGACAGCAGCAGCGGGTATCCTGGTTCATAGATGCAGACACCCAGCTCCATCGCTGTCCTGGGACCCGAATGAGTTGGCGTGGCTATCACTGCGGTCATAGGCTGCAAGTTTAACAGAAAGATTTCATGTTCTGATTTGTGTGTGTGTGTACAACACTGTGGAAGCTAAGACTGACATATTTTTTTTTTAATTTTATTATGTTAAGATTGACATATTTTTATGTAAAGTTTTTCTATTATTTGATTTTTTAAAAACTCTGGAAACGAACAAACGAAAGATCTCAAATATCTCAAAGATGTTTCTGGGATCTCAGTTCTGCCGGAACTGAGTCATCACCTCTCACCAGGATTGCTGCTAAAGCCTCCTGAACAGCCCCTCTCCATTCCAATAGCCCCCCTCACTGGTTCCAGAATGGTCTTTCCGAGGCACAAATCTGATGTGTCTTATCCTGTATTCCAATGGCCCCTCCAGGCCAGGCTCCTTCGAGTGCCTTCTGAAGAGTGTCACAATCCTTCACAATCCTTCTCCAACCAACTCCCGCCTTTAGCTCCCCACTTCACCCCCAAACACCCAAATGTTCAGCAGAGTGAGCCGCTTGTCCTTTTGGAAAACGAACCAGTCCCTTTGAAGCCCTCAGTGCTTTTGAATCAGTTGCACCAGAAACCCCTCCCCATCCCAGCCCTTGTTCTGCACAACCAAGTCTGCCTCGTTGTCAAGCTCCGTGCAGATTTCATCTCCTCGGTAAAACCTTCCCCAATTCCCCAGGCCCTGGGCAGAATGACTCATTTCCCCTCCTCTGTCCCAAAGCACTTTTAAGAATACTTTCATTGCACCACTTTACCTATTATATTATTTGTTGACATATCTTCTATATTACATACATCTTTCTCACATACAGCAGCCAGTGAGTCCAACACGCAGCAGCGCTCGGTAAATGCCCCCCTTTCCTATTAGAACGTGAGTCATCGAGTGGAAGGGGTTCTACGTGATTGACTTCTGCGTCCTCAGCAATAGCACAGTGCCTGATACATAACAAGTGTGTAGTACAGATGTGCTGACTAATTGAATGACTGAATGAAAGCATCTAAGTGAGGCAGGGAATAAACACTACTCTTTTATAGTGGGAAAGACTGAGGCCTGGAGACGGCATTTGTTAAGGTTTATGGCCAATTCAGGGTGAAAATAAGGCTACTTTCCTTTTGAATAGGTGTTTTAACTCAACCGAAGAACTGTGACTTAAGGATTTTATTAGTGAAAATATCTGCGGGTCTGAGCCATACCCCAGAGGTTCTATATCCTTACTTCCTCCCAATAATAATAAGCCAGAAGATTATTCTTTTCAAGACAAACTCTCTGGCAGACTTTGTTGATCAGTTAACCCAGAAGCCCAGCACCCTATGAAGAACTCTTCACATTCATTATTAGTAGCAACAAGCATACAGCCAGCTGAGCACATTTCCACCTCAATTATCTTCTTCTGTTCTGCTAAAAAACAGAACTTAGCTTCTTTTAGATTCATAAGGAATTTGCTTTATAAAACTTTTTATTGAAATATAACATTTAGCAG